CTCAAACTCAAATATTTTTTTTTTTTAAAACTTCCATTATTATTCACGAATACCAACACACAATTTAATTTCTAGGTGATACGGCTTTTTATACGACATACGACTGTTACACTTAATCGATTTTGACGAGTACGCATCAGGGATAGATTTACACAAACGAACAGTGACTGCAATAATCAATCAGAGTGCAGCCGCAGTATCTGCGAAGTCGTATTATTAACGAAACGATCGCATTGTCTATAATACGACGTTACATCGTTTTCGCGTTATGTCTTAACGTGCCCGAAACTATTTACACTATAGTGTTTAGTAACACACCATTAAACCAATAGGTCGCCCCTGCCTCCCCGTCTTTTGTACAAATCGATGAATTCGCCTCTCGCCCGCCACGTTATACCGATGCAGTATCGCTTATTTTCTGCGTGTCCCGACAAAAAAATTACACCCGAATATATAACCGTTAATATCAGTTAATGTATGTCCAATGAGTATCCCCTGCACCATTCGATATAAAACGATAATTATAGTTATTAGGCTTTTGTCGGTCGAGTAGATTGTTTTTTAGATTACGAGTATGGCGAAAGATATTTTTTGGATTCTGAGTACAACAACAAAGCTTTATTTAGCTTATAGTTTTACAAAAATGTTTTTATTTTATTTTGCTCGTAAAACACTGTAATGGTTAATAAAAATGCTCAAATTTTATCATTACATATTAATATACAGATTACATATTTAGCAAGAAAAAAACTACTTCAAATCGGATGCAAATAGTTTGTTTAGTATTTAATAACTGAAAACTTGCTCCACGAGATTGTAAATTCGGTAATTCGAAGGTAATTTGAAAGGTGAACGAGGTGAATTTTCTGATGCGAACTACTAAGCTATAGCTTTATAAATTCACATCATCATAATATAATATTATGCCGCATGGTGAAAACCAATGTTTTCGTGAGTATTCTTGCGGTTGTGTAATGGAAATGTTTTCCAATAACGACAATAATAATAATATACCGTCATAACATTATTTCCTTCCATGTTTTGTGTGTATGTATTTATATGTACGCGCGTGTAATTTTCAGCTAAAAGCTTTTAGTAGGTATAAGAAAGATGACGCGAATGGTGCCGTGCTGATGTTAGTTGTACTGTCGTCGTCGGCGTGTGCACAAGACAAGTTAAGTGTTATTATTATTATTATTATATTTTTTTTTTCTTCCTTTCTTTCGAGTGGTCGCACAAAATACTCGAAAAAAGTTTATACCGTATAACGTAGCATAAATTTAACGACATTATAACCGCTGTATGGAAATTTAATCCCCGTATACGGTATCTATCAAATTCAGCATTAAATTTTACCGAACGACATTTCTTATATTATTATATTTGAGAATATACGAAAAACCATGCAATCATACAATCAGGTTTCGTTATTTATCTTAGTCTAAATAATGTTGGTATCCAACAACCTCCGAACAGATCCATCATTTAGTTTAATGTTGGGAAGGTAAAGTAATACAGACAAGGTATAAAATCCATAGAGGTTATTTATTTTTTCATTTAGACAAAGGATAAATTTCACCACATAATTTTTATAGAGCCCATGAAACGCGGATATCTGACGTTACGAACACAAGGTGATATAGGAATCATCCAACAAGATCACGGAGATTTGTTAAAATTTCAATTTATATAATACAATTGAATTCCACCTCGATTCACGGAGAAAAAACAAATTTTAACTATAGAGATAAATTACGTTTATGTATTCTATAATAACGAAATATGGCAAGTTTATTATTTTTGATGAAACTCGGTGTGCCGTGACTCGAGTGCGGAGTCTTCGATAACGCCGTTACCGTGCAATTGCAATTTAGGAGTATATATAAAAAAAAAAAAATTCCAAAACAATATAATAATATAATACTAGTATTGATTTGTGGATAAAATTGAGAGGTTAAAAGCAAAAAGAAATTAAAAAAAAAAAGAGACAGAAAAAGTCGCCGAGCGTTTATTATGGTGCTCAAAGTGTCACGCTCGGTTTAGTAATTTTTGGATTCTCGAAGCACACTCCTGCAATATTGTCACTACCCACTGTTACCAACATAATTTATAACGGAATGTGGACTACATAATCAAAGCGTTCGTTCGGAGCGTAAAAAATAATATTATTATACGCCCGTTTTACGGCAACTTAAGGTTAGGTTAGTGCTGGTTAGGCTGTACTTATAGAACTGCCTTTGAAAATGGTGATAGGCTAAATTGGATGAAGAAATCACGGGTGGTTGGACTAGGAATCTAATACTAAGCGTAAGGAGATGGGCCCAGCGACCAAACAGACTGAGCTACCATATTACTCAATTTTTGTCTGGACATGGATGCTTTCAGAGCTACTTATTTAGGATGAAGAGAGCAACTGATCCTCAGTTGTCCTCAGCTTCCTCTGCGATTACCCCGAGGATGATGTAGAACATACGGTGGCCTTCCACGGAAGACACGAAGCAACCAAACCGCTGACTCGTGACAGACGTAGAAGTACTCCAGGGTTGGGCGAATACGACAGCTCACGAAGCAAATCAGTCACACGAAATAAATGGATGTATGAAGAGGACTCAAGCATGAGATATTCAAGGGAGACGGGCGAACACCAGACGAAGAAGAAACAGTGCTCACGCAGTCCCTTCTACGGACACAACAACGATATCACACGAAGAAAATAAAGGCTAAGATTCCAGTATTTTTAAATATAGTTTTGAAAACAACTTTGGAAACTTTTCGAGGTATACAAGATATTTTACAAGTTGATTGCGAACATCTATAAGTATGTAAAAACAATCGGGGAAAAATTATCCGGGTACAATATTTTGGCTAGTAGAATTCCTACAACAAAACCCTTGTAGTCTCGGAAAATTGTACCAGTGTACTCCAATTATATTGGACTATGTCGCCGAATAGAAATTTATATAGACAATACGGATATTCATCGTTTTTCCCAGGAAACTATAAAGGGATAAAAATATATATATATATATATAAAAAAAACAATAATAATAAAACGAACAAGAGCTTTTTTCGTTGGGAGTAAACCTCGGATGCGGTGAACACCGGGTTTGGGACGGATAACCGTCGTCGGTAAGTTTATATACAGGTAAGTATATATATTATATATTACATTTTTCTGGTCTTCTGAGAGAAATGGATTTCGTCAACTCAGACTGTGGCTGCGGTAACGATCGCACAGGTGAATAGTTTTAGTCCCCAGCTCGATTATTTTTTTTTCAATAGAAAATATTGTACCTCTACGTCGTGATATCCAAGAGACCTTTTGGGAAAACGCTGCCGAAATTGTTTTTCGTTTTTCACTGACAAACCGGAATCGGATAAACGAAATTTGTTTTTATTATTGTCGCACTAAAACGATAATAATAATATTATATTAGTTTCCGGACGAAAAACGAAACTATATTATTTCGAGTTTTACGATGATGCACACGTGCTTGCGCTTTTTCTCGCAAGCCTGTTAACGCAGTAGGTACGGTGAACGTAGACCTCCTGTGAAAGTTTCACTTATGATTACAATAATATTATACGGACTGGAAATCGGAGACAATTTCCGAGGGTTTTACAACGCCGAAGAAACTTTTGAAAAACGATATAGCAATATAATTTATCGATTTGAATCAATTGTAAAATATATTTCGTTATACATATACCGAACATGGAAATTGAAATCCAATACGATTAACGTAATTATTTTTACCGCATACCGAGAATATAACGTAGAGTACACGAAACAAATTATGATAATATGACTACGAATAAGGATGATATAATTACAATGTGATTTAAAAGAATTAAATTATGAAAAATAGGAGACGTGGAAATCTGCTGAAAATCAGACAGTTGATAACGAAAAAAAAACAATGTCAGCAAATCTGACTGAGAAGGTACTTTAGGGAGGATCATTCATCGATTTTCCAATAGCTTTCCCGGCATATGTAAACAACCGGAAAAAACATGGGAAAAATACCTACCTTCCCAACTTCTCACCAACAATAGTGACTGCACCCATCATACGAATTATGTTGATTTTTTTTTTTATTTGTTCGTTTTTTTTTTTTTTTATAGATTCCAGGTCGAGCGAGAAATATATCAGTTAGTAAAGAACCTTTTAAAACTTTCACATAATAAAATATTTACCGCCATAATATGCGGATTTACCAACTATTCACTCGTTCGGTAATTTTATTCGTCCGAGTATATGACAACTATAAACTAGACTTAAACCAGTGGTTTTCAACCTTGATGAATCGCAACGCCCTATTTTTTATTTTATTTTTATTATATAAGACAATCCCTCAAAAATTGTTCAATAAAACATAGATAATACGATAGTATTTATGATACTTATGATTTTTGACGTCCCCCTAATTATCACTAAATAACTATATTTTTTTTATTTTTTTTTTTTTTTTGTATTGAGTAAAATCTTAACTTTAATATATTATTTAGCTAAATAATGTCATTAATTATTTTCTAAATAAAGTTAAATAAATCTAATAATTAGTGTTCTTGATTTTGCCATGAAAATAATCTTATTGATTAATTAGTAAATTAAAACCTAGGGAGGTTAACATAATTGATCAGTATTATAGCTTATATCGATGTTATATCTTATCCCTTAAATACTTTCTCAGTAAAAATAGAATAAAACAATTATTTTGTTTTGTTATAACTTAACTTTGAAAAAAATTCACCCTATAGTGTCGGCGCCTCTTTAAGGGACGCTTTGGGGAGGCTAAGAGTAGATAGGGTTATATTTTTTAATTTTCTTAAAACCTGCATATAGTATTTTAATTTAAATATTTGTAAGGGGGCTGAATCCAAATAACTTATTAATTTCATAAAATACATTTCTTACCTACATGACAGTACAGTACGCTTAGTACCCACAAAACATGTATGTGAACAACTCAATAAAGAATGATAAAATCAATTCTTCAGCCCAAGTTTAACATTATCACCAAAGACAAGATTAACTGTCCTCGTTAGTTACAAAAATAACTATCAGTCTTCATTGAAATATGATGACGGCTCGCCCATGACGGCTGGTCAGGATCAAATGCTGGTCATTAAACTCAAGGCTCGATTGATGTTGAACAGAAACATTAACGTCAGTTTAGGCCTGATCAACGAATCCATTGGTACTATTAAGCAAGTCATATGAGACGATAATTTTGGCCAAGTCTGCTCTTTTTTTAGTCAATAATCTTACTTCACTTCTACTTTCCGAACAACACTGCTTTTTCATTTTTATTGTTAAACACTTACTTACGTTCTAAACGATAATTAAAACATCAGTAGCATGTGTATTTACATAAAAGTTCCAAAAGTATAACTAAGTGTTAAAAAAACAAAAATAAAAATGCAGTGTTACTCACGAAAGTGTAGTGCGGTAAATGGTTATAGACTAAAAAAAAAAAGCAGATTTGGTAAATATATCACTACTTTGATAGACTGCCTTTTTTGGAAGGGGGTGCGAGACTTGGTCTTTTTTTCATGGTTTTGTTGGGATAATATTGTACTATACTTGTAAAAATAATAATCGTTCGTTTTTAACCGAACCATAATATATACTGATTGCGAAAATAAAAAACTTATAATTTAATAGGTTATAATCTTATTATATTATATTTATTACACACGATTAATGTCAAGACTCGAAAATCTTAAGTCATCATATTTTTTTTATTTATTTATTTTTTTTTTTTTTTTTTACGAGCACTTAAAAATTGAAATATAGTTAACCGAGTTCCTCTCGTAATCGTTTTTAACGGATACGATAATAATTATGATTTATCGTCGCTTTCAAATTTACAGTAATGGCACCTATTTTGACTGTGTGAGGTCAAAGTACCGAAGCGAAACGTCTGTCGATCTTCCAACACCCACTCCAGTCTTCAGTTGATGGTATTTTTAAGCTCATCATTTTTCGTCTTATATCCTATAATAATTTATTACACGTCTTTGCGCACGCTTGTATTTTTACAAAAAAAAAATGCATAATAGCCACTGCATACAAATTCTAAAAAAACAAGTATCTTGCATTGCATTATATACTTCACTTTAATTGTGTCTACTAAAAGCAAAAACCTAAAGCATTTTCAGCAAGATTATTATTTAAGTGCATATTTTATCGTCGTCGGTATGAACGTATAATATATTTTAAAGGTCTGTATACGATTTTTAAGTATGAAAATTTGATTACGATTTTTTCCAGGCATTAATCAGGTATACGTGTAAAATCATTTAGAAATTATTTTCGTAATTTTACTTCAATATTTCAGTACTCTAAAAAACGATTCTGAAAAAAAAAAATAACCCAAAATCAAATTTACTTATAATTTTTTCGCGAAGATAATTACTAATTCATGCGATGGTATAATCGTCCCATCCCTGTTTATCGATGTTTATTAGATATGTATTTATTATTCGTAATTTTTTCGATAACACTCGAAAACCCCCGACAAAGGTTATCCTTTACGCACACTTTAAATTGCACTGTAACGCTATGCACGATAGACGAGAGCCTCGCGTATTTCTATACATTGTGTGATTCTCTATTTCTTATACTTTGAAGCGTTCATCCGATTCCCCGCAATAATATAATATATTATATGCTGTCGTACGATAATAATAATTACTCCGAAGTTGGTAGGCACTGAGGAATCTTGCGAGTGGTACGTGCTCGCTCAAAGGACGTGTCAACTCAAAAACCGACTAATTTTCGCCGCGCTCTTGTCGTGTTACGTCACGTGTATTATACGCGGAATTAGGGCATTCCCCTTCCCCACCCGTGAAGTGTCCCTCCATATTAATTTAAAAGATAACAATTATAAGTTTTATGGATTCTGAACGAAGCAAGGAATATGTTGCAGGTTTTACTATGATGTATTTTTTTCGAATCTGTAAACAATTTTTTTTCACCAGAAATTCTGCTCCAATCAAAAAAAATATTATAGGAATTATCTTGCGAAATTTTTGATCTAGTTGATGTACCGAGGTCATTTTCTGATTTTCTTTCGATCTTTCTATAAATCAATTTAAAAAAAAATGGTAATAGCTTGTATACATTTTGTTGATTTCTAGGTTACTATCATGACAAAAACGGAAAAATATTTCTAATAATACCTCTGCTCAGAATGATATTTCATTATAAATTGATCAGTTTATTATTATATGTACAGTTATAAATTAAATTACTCTATGCATCCTCTCTTTCAACTTCTCTCCTAAAACAGGAGCACACCTATCAGTAGGATCAGTCATTTTTTAAATATAAAGCTCATACCGTTAACTTGAATTACATTAAGTGAAATCTATAAATTATTAATAGGTATTGAAAATGCTCAGTCTAAAAAAAAAAAAAAGCATGGATTGAAATATTCATCTAATACTATTTGAACTACGATTTTAGTAATATCCTGAATGATAATATTATATAATTTAAATATATATTTTTGTTTTTATTCGAAATATTTTCCATAGACGTACCAAGTCTTAAATTTATATTAGATTTAAAAAAACCCCTGTAAAATTGATAAAATTAAAATGTATCGAATTTACCAATTACTAAAATAACATAATATAGCTATTGGAAAATTGTTGATTTTTATTCACATATTCTTCTTTTTTGTGGCTCAAAAGCTTCCAAGACATTTATTCATCCCGACCTACAGTCATCTTTATACTTGATATTGAAAAATTAATATCATAATGATCGTAAGGACTCCTGAAAAAGCTACTCGTGTATACATGGCAACCAAATATAAAATAAAAAAGTTACTAAAATTTAGTATACAAATTTCAATTAATGTATTTTTTGGATTAGCTACAGATTATTTACTTATTGCATGCTGAATTTTAATACAATTGTATATATAATATCAACAGGCAATATTTTCGTATAGTTATGTTCCGAGTTTAAGGTATAAATTTAATAACAAAATTATCGAGGAGTGTCTGAAGATCCATGAATTCACTAGTTTAATGTTAAAATTAACAATCATTGTTGAGACCCAGAAGCCTTTTTACACTGAATAATATTATACTTATATATAATAATTATCATTATTTGTTTTCTAGACGTTGTCGAATTTCCCAAACATTATGACAAATTTTAGACAGCGAGTATTTAAGTACTTTTAAATTTGTATTTTATTACTATTATTATTTTCTTTTAAGGTGGGCTTGTTGTTTAATAAACAAATAAAAACACGAAATATTCGTGATGCGCCGTCAGTTCCAGTATGCGCTGTTGTAATATTGCTCAAGCATATTCAAATTCAAGCGGTTTGTTCGGAAAAACCGTTCGGGACATATTATTTTTATTAATATAATACACCGCGCGGTAAGTAGATACGGGTAGAGTTTTGTGTAACGTCGAAAGCTATTATACTTTTTTATTGCACGCGAATCGTCGAGTTTTTCATCACGAGCGCGCGCGCGCACACACACGTCGCAATAATAATAATATTATTATAAAACGTATAATAATCATCCGTGCTATCTACACATACATATATATATATACATACACGCCTTTAGTTAAACGAAAAATGAAAAAACCAACCCCGGTTTGCTTGTGTTTAATGTTGAAAAAAATAATACAAATAAAATGTGAAATAGAGCGCGAGGTAAATATTGCCAGGCATAAAAGCATAATAATTATAATAATATAAAAAAAAAACATATTTTTTTTTACATGAACGATTAAAAAGAAAAAAAACCGATATTATAATGTATAATAATTTAATTAATTTTTTAATCACGATTAAAACGCATGTTCTTTTTTTCTACGTCTATAAAAGACCTACCCATATTACATCCCTACTATAAAAGCACGGGCGTAAAACGAAAATGAATATTACGTCAAAAAAAAAAAAAAAAAAAAATAGTTTAAAATTAATCTGAAATTAGTATAATATTATAATATTTAAAACTGTTAGTATCATCAAATTATCGGATCTCTCGTTGAAATTTTGCAAATTAAAGATACGGAAAATTCTATCTATTTAATATGTATATGCTGTATACGTTTGCAATTTTACGCTAACCAGATCCAAATCAAAATCCAATAACAATTTAAATTCGATTCATGAAGTCTATATTTTAAGTACGCAAAATTATTTTGTTATTAATTTTCAAATACAATTTAAAATTATTTTAACTTTGAAACGAACGGTCTTAAATACGAATAAAATTGCCTATTAATCAAACATTTCGCATCAAATTTAAAACAAAATCTCGTATTCTCGTTGAAAAACTAGCTAAACGATTTGAAAACACTTCAAAGTATTATAATTACCTATATTAATTGTACAGTTATTCGCAATATTATTTTCCCGTATGTATGCTCACATCGCGGCGGGAACGAGTGTTTTATTCACCAAAACCGCGCATTAAACAAATACACCTAGAGTCACGACCGACGTTTCTAATAATAAAATACGGATATATTTTGTCCGCGGTGCGGTTTTCTGCCGTTTTCGCTTAATATAAACGTCCATAAAACATGAGAATATGTATTATGTATTCTTTTACGAATACACACGCGCACGCACGACACAATTATAACGGTATAAGTTAGCATATTTTATCATTATTGCACAGAGTTTACAGCCGCAATGTGTTCCTAAAATCCGAGTGTTAGTTTATTATTATTGCGGTCTTCTAAGTTTTCGAGCAATTTTTTATAATCGTGCACCAGTGTCGTATACCGGTATTATGATACAAACGCACCGTCGCACCGACCTAATATAGTGTTGGAAAGAAAAAAAAAACCGTACTTATTACGTTACAAATTGCGATTTATTTTCCGAAGCCTATACGCGCGATTCAATACGAAATTGTATTCTATTATCGACGGGGTCATCGCCGGTCAAAATATCTCTAGTACAATATAATGTAATATATTATTTCTCCTTCTGTGAAAATAAATTATTTTTTTTTTTTCTAACATTGTACATTGTATTATTTTTGTTCCCGTAGCTGCCGTGGATTGTATTTTAATAATAAAAAATCTCTTTACAACATATAATAATATTGTGGTTTTTTTTTCAAATTCTTTAATACATTTTATGATACAAAAAAATTTTTTAAAAAATCTCTCGGACGAAACAGAAAAAGAAACTTATAAACATTATTTTAAATGAATTTACCGTAGCAACCTAATACAACTAGAATACATTTAGATATATAATTTGAATACGATAATGTTTACCAATACTATCAATAACTATTATACTAATATAATACCAATTGTAAAGTTATACATATCTACCTAAAATATTATAAATCGTTTTAAAAATGATATTATAAATGGGTTTTCCTAATTTATTATTACTATACAATTATATAATTCGATATAATTCTTATTTACTACGTGGGTATTTATAGTGAATACCTACGTTTTTTTTTTTAACCCAACGAAAACGAAGTACTTACCTACCTAAAGTGATTGGATATTTCATATATAAGTAGAAAAAGTTCAATGGACGTTCAGTGTCGGTTGATTGATTTTTATTTTTATGGATCATGCCATTTCCTCACCTGCAGCCTATACCAAAACGTATCTTAGCATGTTTCGGTAACATTAGTTTGACCATCGCCAACATTTTCGGGATTTTCGTTTATAATATTAATTTCATAAATAATAATCGTTTCCAAACGAGAACATTAACAATACTACTTATGTTTCTCAATACGTAATTTAGAACAAAGTATAAATTGAAGGAATTTTGTGATGGCGACGAAAAATCTCACGACTATTAAATAATAGAAGGAAAATGAAGAAAAAAATAACCCATCTGATTTGAAAAGAGACTAGTTTTCTACAAATAAATATTAATTGGTGACACTATGTACTATGCATAACACGACTAGCCTAGATTTATGCACAATACAGAAATCTCTTTAGTAGAAAAGTATAATATTATTCTGTTTTTGAATCGGAGTTTGTACAATAATACAATATAGGGGCTATTATATTTGAAAATCGAGAGTTTTTCACATCAGCTCTGCCCGAGACTACGAATAAATGACGTGTCCGGATAAACACACGTATACGTATGGAGAAAAAAAAGGGAAATTTTATCGGTTTTCGGCCCTTTTTTCATTTTAACGACTTAATGGACGTACGTTTGGTAACGGAAACCGTCTCCGTGATGGTATAAATCTGCATCAACGATCGGCGCGAAAATGTAGGCGTTTAAACGAATTTAAATGTATAATCACTTGGTCTATATACGAGAGTTTCTAATTGTTTTTTTTTTTCTATTCGATTAAAAAAAAAAAAAAATGAAAAATAAAAATCGTCATTAATCTAAAAAAAAAAACCACCATAAATATCTTTCAAGATTCATTTATTTTATTACTCTCGCTTTCGCACTCAAACGATAAAATATTCGAACAGTTCCCCCTCCCTACCGCAAATTTTCCCGACGATTACATCTGTACGCGGATATTGTGTAAATTTGATTTTCTGTTCAGAAATTTCGATCCCTCGGCGGTGGCGCGGTTCAAAAATAGTACTCCCCAAACATGTCACAAATTGTGTTATTCGAAACGTATAGGTATGTAATTACATAATATAGTTCGTGTTGGAAAAATAAAATGTCTATTCCGTATATACTTACCGGGTGCTCGTGTTTATGATATATTATTATACACGTTTTGTTTCGATGTTTCTTGAATTGCGCAAAGTCATGCGAAAAACAGAGGGTGTTTATTTTTGTTTTATTAATAATATGGTTTTGAAAACGTTTCGAGGCATATTCGTGTTCGCAACGATGTTTTAAGCGATTAAATGCTTCATAAACAGTTCATAATGATAAAATACCGGCAATCGCAGCAAAATGCTCGGAAAACATGTTTTAATTTCGACATATTATTTTGTTTTGGAAATTCGATGAAATCGCGCTTGTTGTCCGTGTGTAGTGTTTGTTTCTTTTTAGAAAATGGACGATTCGACTTGATTATCTTGAGGAAGTGGGCTAACGATAATAATAATTATTTGTAAAATTCAATTCAATGTTATATTTCCCGACTGTACAGGTAAGTCCTCTAAAAGGCATAAATGACGAGCATTCATGTATTAATAGGACGAATGTATAATTAATATGATTAATCAGGGAGATATTTTTTTTCCGGCATGAATTATGAGATTTTAACATAGACAATAAAAGTTTCTATCACAGGTTTCTTAATTATCTATGATGGATTCGTCGATATACGCGTGAATACAATTTATTTCATGGATTAATTGATCGAATTAGGCTTCTTGGTACCTGCAGTAACTACATGACCAAATGTGGGATTTTATTCATATCATAAAAATACAATAATATTGTTTGCGATTTTAATCGACATACTCGTATTTGTATCATCTCGACCGCTGTATACCCGTAATTAATTTTTAGGCGTTTAAAAAGTGCGCAGAAAAATTATATTATTCTTTATATAGTACGATGATAATATATTTAAATTAAAATTACAGTTATTACCGAGACAGTGCGTTAGGCGCGTAGCGATAAATCTTTATTATTTGCACGGCTGAACTATTTAATTTCAACGACGACGTTACCTAGTTATAGGTACCAATATAATTTAAAAAAATTGTTTATCCTCCGTCGTATTTTAATAAATTAAACGAGACGAAATACATTTGTTAAACCACCGTGCGTATTTTATTAGTATAAACGCAATAATAGTTATACAATTCGAATGATTATTATTCTGAGTGTGAGCACGAAATAACCACGTACAACAAACATTTATACGATATTTATATATTTATATATACGAGCCTACATAAATTTATATAAATTCAAGCGCGTCCGCACTTTTTAATGAACTGAATGAAAAAAAAACCCCGTTTTACAATTATAAAAGAAGCCTTTTAGGATCCAAACGCTTCGGTATTCCCGTTTGCTGTGTACGTAAACTTGCACAGTTTTACACTCTAAACCGTAAACCCGTACTGAAAAAAGGGTGAAATCAATTCACGTTATTTGCATCGCGTATGGGTGTTAAATAAAATTACACCGCAGTAAATCGTGTTAAGCTTATAACGTCGTCCTCTATACTATTACGTGTACATTAGGCGTGTCTCAAAGATATTGCACTATTTTTCACATTCTGTGCGGAGCGATGGAATGTATTGGTTTTGCGAGTCTTGTTCTTTTTTTTTTCTCCCGCTCGTGGCCGAGTTCACGGCTAGAATGCTTCATAATAATATACAAAAGCTTTTTAGAAAAATAGCCAGTTGTTATATAGAAAGAATATTGATTTTGTTACTTCGAAAATTCCAGTCGCTTATCCTAATAACGGGAAAAACTCAACATTTTTCAATTGGATTAAGATTTCTGATAGAAAAGTTATGACGCAAAATCCGAAAAATAACGCGGAAAAGCAAAAACGGTAAGAGGGTTTAAATGTTTCCCTTATAACGGCTTTAACTTATTAAATACAATTTTCTAACGCTACACAATTTTTATTTTTGTTTATAATACGTACAATTTGATTTAAACAAAATAACTTTGTTTTGATCATTTGTTTTATTAGACAATTATATTTAATTTAATTGTTATTTATTTTATTATTTAATTTAAACCATTCTACCATTCGGTCTAATAATATTCGCTTGAAGTGCTTTTTTCAATTTTTTTTTTTTTTAGGTTTTTAAGTCCTTTTTTGTGAATTTCAAGCGCAATAAGTCCTGAACCCTAATTATGGGTTACTCGGTATTAAATCAATAATCTGCACTAGCAAAGTGATAAACGCAAGCTGTGACTTGCAATCACGGTACACGATTATTTGATATTATAATTATCGAGCTAATACGGCCCGTATTATAATATACATACATATTTATATATATATTATTAAATAGACCCGGGGATGGGAAACGCCGCAGTGTTACAACACGACAAGAATACTATAATATCGAGGCTAATGGTTATTTATTATGTCGGCAAATATTTCGAAATATTAAACAGACTGCGTACGAACCCCCGAGAAAATTTACCGCAAATACGGTTTTCAAACCTATTATTATTATATATGTTACCGAATTAATGGAAAACGTACTCGTATACAATGTGAACTATATTATAACAACGTCCAATTATACAACACGTCGTACGGATATATACGCGTACTGCACGCATTGTAATAATGATAATTTTACTTTTTTGCTGCGAAGAAATAATTATCATTAGAAAAAACGGCCGGGGGAAAATAAAACACAATGTATAATATCGTTTCGAATTGGCAAACGACTCATTTTAATAAACAATTTACTCGGCGGTTAAACGCAATAATAATTATACGACGACAGCGACTCGTTTAAAACTGTTCTTGGACATGATTTCCATCGTTTTCCCATACTTTATATTACGAGACAATGTTATATTATGTTTGCGTATAATAAGAGCATTAAGAGCTCAATGAGACGAAAAATGCTACGAAACGTTAAGGGGGATAATATTATATACATTGCCGAAAAGTCCAGAGCACGGTAATATAATATTTTAATATCGCGGTTAGTCTTGCGAACCGTAAAATCGAAAAAGCAGACCGGATATAAAGGACCTATATCTGACGGGCAGGTATAGCAAAACATCGAAAAACCGCCGTAACCACACGCGGTTTAATAATATTATTATAACAGTGTTTAGTGAAACATAAAATTAATACGTACAATATTATCGCGTGAAAAAATTATTTTTGATTCGGTAATTACGTCGCTAAAGAAGTAACGGGTTTATCGGTCCACGTAATAATGTCAAAATTAAATTTATTCCCTATATAAAACATTTATAATCGAACAAAATATTATAATATAAGTAGGATTGGGCAGACGAAAAATCTTATTACCTGTCATATTCTTTTATTACTTATTACTTCAATTTTTAATGAGCTGTGTATTGAATACAGTGATGTTCGTTTGCGTCAACTGGACAACCCTACATAATAAGTTTAAAACAAATTTGACTTTTGATATGTGGTACTTCGGAAAAATACTACAAATCTCTTTAGAAAGAGCTAAAAATGAAGAGGTTAAAACCAAATTAAAGAAAATAGAATATATTCAATGCTGAAGAGATAAGATGATAGGTTTATACAATACGGTACGTATGCAAATTTACAAGAAACGGCAATAATTAAAAGAAAATATGTTAAAGGATACGAATATGAAAATACCTGACCAAGGGCAGAATGTATGATCCAAATCATGAAGGGCGTAGGCACAGAATAATACAAAAATTGAATAAATGAACTACGCTACAACAAGGAAATATGGAAAGCTAGGTGCAACAAGCCGATCTTAGGATTGTTAACTAGAAGAAGAAAAAGGTCCTTGATAATATTATACATTTTTTAAAAATAATTTTCCGAGACAAAACAAAAATATATATCCTAGTAAAGCTATAAAAGCTTTCTCACTCTACTCTAAATATAAAACTTATTCAGGTAAGACGAAACAAAATTGTTTTTACGTGTTTGACAGATTATATATTATCACAAAAGCACAAAACACGCGTATACTTAAGTATATTCGCGATTGACAGAATGTCAAAAAATATCGAAATTAAATAATAAATATTATTTAACAGCTGGTAATATGGAAAATAAATTTTTTTTAAATAAAATATATCAAAACTGTATAGTTATTTTTTTTTTTAAACTAAAATAGTGAATTCCGTTGAAACTAGTGCATAATTGAATATATTGTCGTGTTAAGCAATCACTTAGTTCTCCGTTGCGAAATCACAGGAATATACAGTGCGTGTATAGCAGATAGGTATTGCATTTAATTAAAATGCAAATAATAAACGGGATACCGCAAAATTTAATAACATTTCGTGGTATAGTTGAATACCATATCTGCCATATAGGTACCTAGTATGTAATTCTTCTACTATATCTTGAGTACTCCGGAATGTGCAGTTTTTATGTACCGAATTAAAAACAAAAACAAAAGGCAATATCGACAAAACGAGTATTTTCTGTTAATAATAATAATTAATTTTTATAGATATAATTGGTATAAACGGTTTCAAAAATATTGACATAACTTTTGTAAAACATCTATTGTAAAAATAAATAAATAGGTAATTTTATTAAACTCGTCAAAACTCATTGAACGATAATAGTAATGATAATAATTTGTAGGTGCTATCAATAATATTTTGTTTAGTTTACTGTAAAGAAAAATAAAAAAAAAAAACAGTTAAATTGGCTTTAATATGACCAGTAATATTTTACGGATCTGAAACTTGACCACTTAGGAAACAGACCAAAACATAAAAAAAAAAAAGCAAAAGATCATTGGACCGGTAAAGGATAACATTATCAGTGAATGGAGATGTAAGAAAACCAAAAGCTACATATGACATTCTACGATGGGCTAGACATACACGGAGAATCCGAAACCTCCTGATACGATCAATACTGGAACATAAGTCAGAACCCAATAGGGAAAAGACCTTTGGAATATTCCCTGAGGAATAGTCGGGAAGACGATGTGAGAAAGCATGCGGAAGTGTTAGGTGGTGGACGATTTTGGCAATGGATAGAAATCGAAAGAGAAATGCATGTGGGATGGACCTATATATTATAGAGGTCGAATAAACCAAAATAATAATAACAATAATAATAATCAATATTTTGTGCTTGAAAACATCGGGGATAAAAGAAATAAACGGAAACGTGAACCTATATGTATAGAAATCGATTATAATAAAACACAATATATTGCACGCCGGAAAAGTCTAAGGAAGTAAGCCTGTCTCGGTGTGTGGCCGTCGGGGATTTTTTTTTTTTGTTTAGTTACTGTCGGGTTTTTCGTAAAATCGCCGAGAACGCTTCCTTTGGAAAAAAAAAATATGCATGTGTAAAGGTATACAAATACATATTTTTTTTTTTTCTATTGTTTTTGTTATTTTTTTTTTCTGTTTATTTATGGTATCTAATGACCGTTCGTACCGTATAATCTTCGCTGCGGTCGGCACACAATTCCGGAACAGGTTAAGTGAGGTTTATAATATTGTTATATGCATGTACCTGGGAAGGTACACACATTGTCGACTATTAATATTCATCCGCCGTTTTCTATTTCCGGCAATCGCGCATAACCGACTCGCCCCCAGAGGTACCCGGACACGCGCGGTACAATATTTAATCTCTCTGCAGTTTTTCATCACAAATGCTGATTTCCCGTGCACCTCGTCGAATGATAAATCATCGACTGAAAGTGCAAGAGCGTAATTATAATAACTTTGTTTGTTAAATTGTCCGACATCTCCCCCAGCCTCGCCTTACGAAATTCCGGAAGTTTATTTAGTTCCGAGACATCGTTCGCCCGGAACATGTCAATAATTAAAAATTAAACAGACGTCAGCAACTATGTAAAATTATTGTAAACTCTGTTTTTCTTGGACGGTTGCTTTAATGCATACCTAACCCCATTCAATATTGGTCTAGCGTTTGTTCACGAATCACACGTATTGTATAGTTAGGGTGCTTTATAGGTGAAAATAAATTTTAATTATACGCATTTCGAATCGTGTAGTTAGTACTTCACAAGTGAAACTTTTATTTTTTCGATTTTCAATGTTTTTCCCTTTTTTTTTTTTTTTTGTTAAATTATTTTTTTTTCTGAGTTTAAATATAACTTTATAGTACACGGAATAATAAAAATAATATATTTTAAATAATACCAGAAAAAAAAAACAACACAAATTTGCCCATAAATCTTCGTAGATAATCGCGGCGGTTCACGAAAAAATATAATCACCCTGAATGTAGGTATTATGGACGTGTGATAATAGTGGTAATCGAAATGTTATAAAAAAGGTGTTTGTGTATCCATTTTATTTGTAAGGATACATTATTATTATAACCATTCGTATGTTAAATTTAAACATGTAGCATATAAGTATCACTGAATTTCTCTTCGGGTTAAGCTATTATACCCATTGACCACATATACATACCCACATTGTAGGATTGGCCTTTGGGAGCGGCCGTATCTATAGCCCCGTATCGGTTAGTTTAAATTTTCCAAACACACAGGGTCCTGCGGCCGTATTGTTGATGTCCCGAATAAATTTTTCTGACAC